CGATCCTGGCCCGGGCAAAGTACCAATGTAATTTTTCCGAGTCATATGTGCTTTCTAAGAATATTTAGACATCACTGATTAGCCGATTTCCAAAAGAGGGTTGATGTCAGGCAGGCGGCCGGTCGTAAAAAACAAATAGCCAAAACTATCCACAACAAGTAAGGCAGACCCTGGCTATAGCCGGGAAATTGCCACGTAGAAGAAGAATATATAACACAATTTATTGACAACACGATTTTGACAAGTAACACCTAGTAAATTGAAAAGAAAATTTTTTCGTGTGCTAAATATATGCAACCACACGATATATAAAAGGTTGGTTAGTAAATGCTGTGATTAGACTAAACAAAAATTGATTGGTGAAACTGGGTCTTAGTGTTGTTAAGTAAACTTCGCGTCTCTCACTAGTGTCATTATTTCGGATACCCTTCCTACTAAGTCATTACTTTTAAGTAACATTCGATTCATTGCGAATAAAGAAGTCTCTTTCGTTTAACTACACTTGATATTAACTGTTAAAATGCGTTCTGAAATATTTAATTTCAAATATGTTAATTTTAATGTCTTCAATTTAAGTTTTTTTTTACAAGAAACGTGTTGGATGAATGAAGTTATATGACATAAAATATTTTACTCGAATTAATTTCTTTTGAGATATGTTATTATATATCTATTCAATATGAAAATATTATAATTAAGTATGAATGTTCTAGAAGGTTATTTTACCATTTACGGTTAATTTTGTGGGTATTTTTGTAAGAATAATAAAACATACCCTTAATATGTATTATTAAAATGCAGCCTGATATTGCAATCTATCAAAATCTTTTGAATCTTTACTTCCTGCAATAGTCATACTGCCACTATTATTATCTATCTTAGTAAATGAAAATAATCTCTAGAAGGAGAATGCATAGAAATATAGCCAAAATTATTTTTCCTAAATAAATTCCACCTATCGCTTTGTTTTTGCTGTTAAAAAGTATTAAATACTTTTAGACTGGATGCACCATTTAAATTAAAAATATTATATAGTATATAGTATTTAAATGTTAAACAGAAAAGTCTTAAAATCGTCTCATTTGATTTGAAGCAATAACCATATTCGAATAACCTAAACCTATAACTAATAATTTAATTATAATCTATTCGGCATTAAGGGTTGAAGAAATAAAAGAAAGGAACTAATAGAATTATTATCTTTATATATGATGACAAAATTATAACAAGTTTTTGCTTTTAAGCTTTATTGGCTTTGTTTTTTTACTTGTGCTTTTCTACTAAGAACGATCTATGGAATAAGTCTCATTCAAAAAGAAGAACAGTGTAAATGAAATGTCAATATATTCTTTAAATATTTCTTCACTACTAACCCTATGTATTTGTTATGTTCATATTTTATATATCATATATTAGTTTTCTATATAATATTAAATTGTGCTTTTGGTTTCACATAAACTTCAGAATTAGGGTCAGAGAGTAATGTATAAAGTATGCTAAAAAAATTAATATGGCAACTAATCGGCAGGACACTTACAGCCAGTATTATATGACCTACATAATATAACGGGTATGCCTATATCTGCCTTACATATATGTATCACGAGAACAAAGAAAAATAAGACTATATCCTATTTTGATGTCTTTTCTACATTACTGTATAGTTTCAAAAAAAGTAAATCACGACTACTGCGAAGTAACCGATACGTCGAGAGCATGTAGTTTAAATAATAAAAAAAGGGGAATTAATCCCAAAATATTAGTTTTATTTAAATTAATATCCTTAAAAGTCTTAGATCTCATTATGCATGTTAGCTTGTTGATTCTAAATAGAAACATTAAGGTCGGTGTAGGTATGGGTCAATTTTAATGGTACGATGGCGTGTTTGTCACCTACGAGGTGAAACATTTCCATGCAAAAACAACATTAAAGTAAATAATTATCTCTTGAATTATATGAGGTAACGTTCATTTTATGACCAAAGCCGATGAGAGCCGTAATTGAACGTCTTAGTGCGGTGTTGCCCTATTTTCCCGAAATTTCTTCAATTAACATTTTATATGTACGTGATGTAATCGTTACTATGGGACAGCATGGACACTTAGGGTCAAACATGTCTTTCAGAACTTCGTTGACTTATTGTATCATATTTGAACTGAATATTAAAAAAATATCTCACAATGTAAGATGCTAGAGCTTTTTTTCTAATTTATTTTACTCAAAAGTTATATTATATTTTTCAAATATAATATTTCTGTCAACCGACTTCTAAAATAAGGAGGTTATTCATACATCTGTATACTGTTTGATTAAGATTGTGACTATAATGTGAGTGTAACTCTTAATAACTATTAATCATGTGTCGTGATAAATGTCTTCCTGAATTCCGCAGCATCATTTTGGTTATCTTTGATGGATCCACTTGACTTAACTCGAACCTAAATCATTTCTCATATGTCTTTTTTTGTATATATCTGCAAAAATTTTCGCCCTAATACGAGGCAGCATCTAAATTAGTTAACACCGACCATCGCAATTGATACGTGGGCCAACTATTTTAACCTTCTTACTTATTTACATATGTTATTGGTGTCTGACACAAGATATAAAAATCTTGAGATGGGTCCAGCAATACCACAGTGCTAAGAGAAATATTAGCAATGTATATATTTATTTTATTATACAAAACGAAACAAAGTTCTTTGAACACATACATTCTATAAAGAAATAAAAAATTAAAAGTGGTAAAGTTTAGAATCGTGGAGTTATTTAAATACATATACTGTATATTTGGAATGCAAATACAAATGTTTATTTTAAAGTTGATATACATTTTTTAAAAGATATTTTTGTTTTTTATTTCCAAAAAATAAATAGGTATATTTTTAGTATTTGGGAAATATAAAATATATTTATTGACTCTTAAAGTCTCTTTTTTTATTTTAAATGCTATCGTGTTTGTAAACACGGTTACCAAGTTCTGGATAAAGTGAATATATATTTTCATTTGGTTGTATGATTTTGAAGGATAGCATTGGATAGGATGGAAAAAAGAGCTTTTATAATTTAACACAACGTATTATCTTATGCCTCGTTTTAGCTCACATTCAGCCCTCAATTGACGTTACTAATAAATAAAGCATAATATTTTTAAATTATATAATTATCTATAATTACGTTTCTTGGTTTCTTCCTCTTAATACAAATATCGCTATTTAAGTCAATATAAATTCTAAACATCTTTATTTTATTTTATTATATGTTAATAGTTATATGAAATCTTTCAAGAAGTAGATTTTGAGATGAAGCGTTTGAAATATGATACTGTTATTTGCTCCGCTGCTAATCCTATTATGATATCGATGGAATCGTTCACTTATTTGCGTTTATTTTCATAGAAGATAATTTATTGTTCTAAGATTTCTTGTTCCGTAAATGAAATAAGATTATGTATTGGCAACATTATTTAATATTGAAATAAGATTGTATGTTTTCATTCTATTATAAATAATATCATAAAATTTTCATTTATTTCTGTCAATTTTAGACTAAAATAAAGTTTCATATACATAAACTCAAAAGCACAAACTGTGGCCTTTCGTGTATTTAATAATTTCACATGTAACGTGTTTAATGCTCCGTAAAACACTCCGTTATGGAGATTATGCATATACTAAGCAGATTTCAGACACGTGTAGTGAAATCATGGATACCATTTTATTCAGTACTCTGTTAGCACAGCTGCCTGTTCTCTCGGATTTTTTCTGATTTTATTTAACCTGTGAATTGCTTTCAAATTTCAATCACACTTTGTTCGTCGCTTTGGCTCTCGGTTTGACGGTCATTAGACATTCCACAATGTTTCTAGTAATTTGAGAAACATAAAGGATTTGATCCTAAGTCTTATTTCTATAAATGGCTTCAGTAAGCAATCTCTCTTTAAGAAAATCAAAAGACGACGTAATAAGTTTTGTATAACAAAATATTTTTTATATTCTACAAGCTTTATTTAAATAGAAATGTAAAAACGTCTGTGTTTTATAAAAATAAGTGCTCGTGAGGCTATCATTAAAAGCTACTTGTGTTGTCAAAAGATTCAGATTCCAACGAAAATGATATACAACAAGGGTCTTCTGTTAACAAAAACTACGTTTTATTCAGGCCATCCATCAATCTTGCGACAGTCACCGTCAGAAAAGTCACTAGTTGGGATTACTTATGCTCCTAAATAAAACAAAATTATCTTTCTTTATTTTACAAAACTACTTTTTATTGTTAATACTTCCCGGACTAATGATTATGTTATTTAATACCTTTTCTTTAAATTTGAGATACGTTTGACATACATACATATATTGCTTAATATTTTAATAAGGTGACTTTTTAATTCCAAAGATTACAAGATAAACTACAAGACTAAAAGATATAATTGGGGCTGTATCCATATCAGGCAATTATTCCTTGAAATATATAGTGGAAGTTAAGTATCAATAACCTATTCCATATGTATTAAATTAAGTGTCAAAAATGGCGCAATATTTATGTACAGGATATAAATTACAAAATCAGGTAGACAATATTACAAATACTCTTATATAATAATTTGTGGAATAAATGTAAAGAATCAAATCAAGTTTTACTTGTTGTTTTTATTTTTATTATCTCGATACTTATATATCACTTGTTTTGCAATTTAAATAGCGGAAGAATTAAAAATATGGTATACATCATAAAAAATCACAATTCTATTCCGCCACTGAATAACTAATCTAACAAAATAATTTTAGAATAATTATAAAATTAATTACTTTTTATGTTATTTTGGATACTCTAACTATCAACTACAATCTATTATGACCAAAATAATTAATACGAGTTATTTTTAAGATTTTTATTTGTAAGGAAACAAACATTCCAGACGACAATGAAATAGATGAAAGAGTTGTAACAATTAACAAAAAAAGTAATAACGACAAACAAAAAACATTAATACAGATTCTTAGGGCAAGTGTGCTCCCTGTGGCAGGAAACCACGTTCATCAGCAGTGTAGTCTACTCTGTATTTAATTCCATCAACGCCAACATATTCGAAGAAACCTCTTACCCTCATACCACTGCTTTCGTTATCAATCTTTTCAATATGACCTTCTTCTTCAGCCAGAATTGTGTTTTCTGTCTCATATATGTAGTGGTATCCATCGGGGAACACATCGGCGTCATGACGGATAATTCCGTATTTATATTCATAGTTTTGTGGTACTGAGGGTACGGCTTTTACAGGCTTAGCAGGAATGTATGGCACGTAAGCGGGAGTGGGTTTTACTAATAATGTAGAACTGACGTATTGTGGAGAGCTTGGTGGAGCAATACTTGAAGGTACTGAGGGACTTGCTACTTCATCAACGATTGGGGCGGGTGTGGACATAGGCTCAGCATCGGGCACTGGAGCATCTGTAGCAACAGGTTCAACGGTGGAAACTACTGGTTCTTCATTGACAACAACGCTAGAGACTGGTTCAACGGTGGAGACAGGTACATCTCTGCAAAATAAATATTTATATAATGAATACTCTTCGAGACTTAAACTAATTGTATCGTTATAAAGTGGTAACTTACTCTACGGTTGACTTTTCAGGAACATATTTGTTGGCGTCATCTTTATCGCCTTTGTAGAAACCGCCGGCGGAACCGTTGTCAGAAGAGCCAGAGTAGAAACCACCAGGACCTCCTTTGTCAGAGGAACCGCTGTAGTAACCACCACCAGAGCCGCGGTCACCACGATCGCCACTAACAATTTTATTTTATAATTAACAAACAGATTTGTACACTAAAAGTAACATTTAATTGAAAATAAAATATTGCCTACTTGTATAGCCCAGCTTTGTCTGGGTTGTAGCGTCCAGACTGATCGTATTTGCTGGGATCATATTTTCCAGGGTCGTAACGCCCAGCGTCGTAGCGTCCAGGGTTATATTTGCCAGGATCATATTTACCAGGGTCGTACTTGCCGGGATTGTAACGACTAGAACTGTCTGTACTTGTCGGTTTAAAGAGCAGGCCACTGTAGTAACGGTATGGGTCATATGTAGAGGGAGGAACTACTGTCGTTGTGTAAAAGAAAGGCTTGATGGTAGGTCTGAAAAACAAAAATTTTATATAATATTTTTTACAATTAATAGAAATGGTTTTGTTAAGTTAGTTTAATGCTACTCACATGCTAACATCAGCGGCTAATACAGCCGTGGCTGATACAAGAAATGCCTGGAAAACATTATAAAAAATTAAATCTTCCAAAAGATAGTATAAATATTTTAAAAGTTTTGGTAAATTAAAATTAAATAAATCTGAAGTATCATTTTCTTATTGTAAATGTAACAAAATATATTTAAATATAAAAATATATTATATATATTTTAATAAATCATAAATAAAATATAATTTCATACCACAAGTGTCCTCATGATTAATGCTTGTTCGACACCACTTCGCTTACAATGTGATGTCTACAAGATGAGAACCTATATATAGTGTTTTATTCAATTCTAATGTGATTCATCTCCTGTTCTGATTTTTTTTTTATAATTTATTATTCTGTGCTTCTCAATATGCAAAATATTTCCGTTTCAATTATTATCTACTCTTTAAGAAATAACCTCGTTTTAATAATTAAATAGCAATAAAAGTTTTACGTAAAATAGCAGATGAAAAATTTTGAATCACAAATTTTATGTTATAAAAAATAATGAGGTTTTACCTAGATTAAACTCTGTAAACAAAGAACCTAATTATAAAGGAAGCTTCAAATGTATGTATCATTTGATGTTATGATCTATGTATTTGTTTGCATTATTCGCTTACTACTAGGTAATACAATGAGTGGAGCAGTATTAATTTTTATGACACTTTGAGAACAATACGTTTTTTATAGTTGTAGCACAAATCTGAAAAATAATATATATAAACAGTATTATATCAGAATTTTCATCTAGAACTATCATTTGTAACAAAAATCTTTTTAAATTAAAAATTTTGATGCCTTTTGCTTCAAATATTTCTTACAACTACCATTAACGATATATGAGGAGGTTCCTATCTCATAAAAAATAAATTTGAATCGTAAAATGGTATAAAATACCACACGTATACGCAACTACTATATATCTTTAAACAATTTGAATCACGTAAAACAAAAGTAATACAATTTTAGTGATAGATTTACTAACTTATGTTCCACAATAATAATAAAAAAGTTTGAGAATCATATATTGAATGTATGCAGGTCACTCGTGTAACAGGTCACTAGTTCTCAAACGCACCAATCACAGGATGATAATAAAGGCATTAAATATATTGATAATAACAAGGACAATTAGTTATAAAAAATAATAAAATATTAATGTTATTATAGTACATCACAACATTAATATCTAATGTATCTATAAAGTGATTTCTTTCGAAAAACTTTTTTGTATTTTTTTTAAAGTAACTTAATGTATTATGAAATCCCTTGAATAATTTTTTTATGAATTATTTTCTCATTACAAATAGAACTCAAGAAATGTCTTTTGCATGGTTGCAGAAACTGTGTATATTATCGGTGACGATAACATAGAAGATAGAAGGTATTCTTTTTGAAGCAGTCGGTTCAAACAAATCAATATCTGATTTAAATTAAAAATATTTACAAAAACGTAATTTTTTTCGTGTTGCGATACCACTAATTAGTCAATAAAATAGAACGAGCCTCCGCTATCAAATCAATTATAAAAAAATAGATCAATGAATAATTCATAACAATTTATGTGAATCCGTATATTAATTAAGATAAAGTAAATTAAGGAATTTGAAGGTTTTGATATTTATTTTGCATTATTAATAATACCATAGTCATGTTTATATTTCGATGTTTAAAAATTGTATGAATTCGTCCAGATGTTTAACTTTAGTGCGAAGGTCGGGTTATCTATAAACAAAGCTGATTGTTTTTGATGAAACAAATATTACACATTTCGGTTTCATTAAAATAGTATACGTATGTGGTATAAGTTGTTATATGAAATATAAAATTAGAAAATAACAATATAAGCAGTAAAAATATACATAACAATATAAATCCTTCCCTGATAGGTATTAGGTCAAGCTCAAAACTTCAATCGAAACAAATAAGCTTATGTTCTTACCAATTTAAGAAGGCCGTGATTGAAAATAAATTTTAAGGCTATTAAAATATTATAAAGCAATTATTTTAAGCATTTATTCAATAAAGTTCCTTAGTATCCCTTATTTTTACATAATTTCAATGTTTTTAATAGACTTTTAAGAATTGTTTTACAATGAAATATATACTGTAAAGTAAGTATAATAAAAAAATAACATATTTATATTTTCAACTTTATTATAATGACATATTTAAAGGTCAATAATCTTCAATATGAAATCAAATTATTTTGTTCCCTATGTTTCACCTCTACGCTCATGAAAACATTGAACAGATTGTGTTCAAATTTTATTATAGTGTTATAGGGAAGGTCGCGAGTTTCCTAGAACTACTTCAAACCCACTATAGTCACGGCACTCGTAAGAATAGGCCCCAATGTAAATTCACTACTTATTTTTTGAAAAGATTGTTGGCAGACTGAAGAAAAAATACAATTACATAATATAAGTGACATTATACATTCTAAGTGTTGTATTTTTAGGACGATATATATTTGTTAATGAAATGAAAAATATTTTTATTTATTTACCATGACGACTAATGACTAGATTAGTCGCCAATGTAACATTTAATCAGTAGTAATCTTTGCATTTAATTTTAAACTTTATAAATATGTGCTATGCTCATGAATTACACTGATAAAATTTCATGCAAATACATACACAAAAAAATATAAAAAACCAGGTCATTCACATAAAAAACAACTATCCGAACTCCCTTATTAATTTAAGTTCAGTATTGTTTGCTCAAAGCAATATCAGGAAATTGTATTTTTTTTTGGAACACAATAAAATTATATTTTAATTTTATCGCCATCAATGTAATTGACTTACTTAAAAAGCAATATGGGATCGAACGTTCGAAAATGGGACACAACACGACAATCTAATAAAGAAAGGGACGATTTGTGTAAGCAGGATTGTCAATTACATCCTTATAAATGGAACAAGTAGTAAGAGTACTTCAAGAATACATATGTATTATTAGAGCTATTATGTTTGTTAACGAACCTACATCGATGTTTATATTATAATTTTCACTGAAACCTTTGTCTATTAAGTCTTCTAAGTTCTACTAGTATAAATATAAAGCCACATGGCAACATGTTTTATTTGTATCTTAATTCGACTGTTAGCAATTCGAAGCGAGTTCGTTTATTTGTCATTGCTAACCGACCTAATTACTCAATCAAGCAATATAAAATTTGGGATAATTACCACCCTTTCAGTCCACACGAAAAAAAACTCATACAAAATTAATTCCTCTCTTCATTTACATTTTTTATTGTCCAAATAAAACGACAATTGGTTGATTAATTAAAATACGCATTTTAATAAAATAAAAATAATATACCTTGTATATTTTATACTCATACAATTTAACCTACGATATCTCGAAGACTATTCTTAATCAAAAGTTGTCTAGACTAATTATTTATTTAATTCACAAAATTCGGTTCTAAAATATTGATATATTTTATTTGATAGCATCCATTAATTACTGGAGTAAGGTCAAAGAAAACGTAAATGGATCGACCTGTTTTATATATGTCACCTTAATATTTTAAATGTTGACATTAAAACAATATATATTAGGAAATATATATTATTAAGGAAATGCAATAAAATGCTAACCATATAAATATTTATAAACATGTTAATTCTATTTCTGTTAAATTTATCTCTATAATTTCACTATACAGGTATTAAAGTTAAATGTTTAGTTCAAGCTTAAGTCTGTAATGACGATTGCTCATCAATCAGAAATTATACATGAATATAGAAGAATAACACATATTTTTTGCAGTAATTTTTTTGCAATATATAACACAAAAAATAGTAAGCTTATTTAAATATGATACAAAGTTGCTGATAAAATATAGTTAATGATATCGAAAATTTTAAATAAATTCTGGTCGTAAAAAAATATTCAATGATCATTTATTTCACTTGAATGTCATGTGATTCTCAACATTATAGAAAGTTTAATAAATTAAAATAATATAATATGTGCGAAAAAAATGAGAAGTCAATGGAATTGTTTGAAGAGTTTTTATATGAAAGGATATATCTTCAAAACATTTGTTTTTCATTTTACCATTATGTTATGAACCTATTAAAAATACTTACTATAATTTAATTCTTATTACTATTTTACTACAAGTTCATCGTAAATATGAACGAGCAATTTTTCGTTTAACAAATTAAATCAAATCATTTTTTGAATAAATATTATACAATGTCTCATGTTTATGTCCGAAGTATCCCAAGGGAAATGCGTAAATATCAAAATAACATACTTAAAATAAATCTGTTATTAATATCGGTCTCAGTCACCAGCTCTAAGCCCTGTTCTGTGTTTTTAGTAATGCTCTGGTCTGAAAAGGATTTATTTAATTATCGATAAAGCTATGTAATACAAATATTTGTATACAATACCGATATTACTATATATAATATGTATCTATGTAAATATATTTTTATTATATAATGCTAGTTAATACCGTATTCCGAATTGCAAATTTATTTAACACATAATATGTCGAAGTGCTTTTAAATGTCAGAAAAGAGGTCAACAGTCAGTCATAAATTAAAATACGTGTATTGACATTATAGACCAGTGTCGATATATATATATAGTAAGATGAAACCCATTAGAAAAGGAGGGGATTATTGAATTGTTTAATATTTTTTTCATTTTTCTTTAATTTTAAAGGCTACCCTGGTTTATTAATGTTTGACGGTATAAGATAATGTATTACAGATTTTTGTCAATGTGGAAGAATGTTTTTTTTGTCAAGATTGTTTATCTTATTAAAAAAAAAACATTGAAATACATCTTTCTCAGAGTCTGAGAGTTAAATAATCGAAAAATTTATGATATGGTATTTGTTGTTTATTCTCTAATCAGAGCTGTCATTCCAATCCTGAATTATGATACTAAGTCGAAAACGTCACCAGTTTGACCTTCATCATCATCATCATCATCATCATCATCAACTTAGCGCCTATCCCGGTCGCTCGTTCTGGCTAGGCGGGAGAACCCAGGGTCCGCTTTCTTACTCAGTTTCCTCCACTTTGCCTTATTATACTTTTACTTCGATAAAATTCAAAAACGTCACAAAGAGAAAAATTTTGTGATTTTTAGCTACACTTACCTTATTTTGTTATAATAAAAAATATATGTACATTCAGGATAAATACTATTGTATGTAACAATTTCTTAAATCTTAATTACACATCC